CCAGACTGCACTTTAGGAGGGGAGGATAGGCAGGCTGGGAGGGAGCCCGCACTACCAGGGTCTTGCCAATAATAAGGTACTCAGCCTAAGCCCATGCCTCGATTGTGGCTGGCAACGTCCCTGCAGCAAGATCTCCTAGGATGCTGAAGCGGGGAGGGGGGGATGGGTAGGGTGACAGGGAACCCCACAGGACTGACCACCCCAGGAAGAACCCACGCCCCACACCGTGTCCTGGGGAGAAGCCACTACTTATCGATCCAGCAGACTGTGTAGGTGTAGCTCCCGTGACAGATCCTCCTCTCCACTGAAGTGGAGCTGTCGGCCAGGGGTACACTGTGACACAGACTACAGGTTCCCAGTCATATGCGTCCCTGCAAGAAGCTTAACTCGCTAGCCGCCCCCAGTCCATGGGGCATAGAGCTGGTGGTCTGCACGCACTAGCTGGTCAGACTGGGGTGACCACTGCATCTAGATTAACCAGCACGTCGCCCAGCCCGACTGTTGATAGAAATCTCCACAGGAACACAAAAGAAAAGCCGTGGGACCACAAGTCCCAGCAAAACTCCACGTCCATACTCCTGAGACACTAGGCAGAAAAGACCGGAGGCCTACAGAAGACAGGGGGTTTTATACCCAGAGAGGACTGTTCAAAGCATGTGCCAAGTCTTTTTTTCTACCTAGTACGTAAGAGAAATTTAGCCCTTCCTTTCAGTGCAAGACACAGAACACAAAGTTCACCAAGTCTGACCCTAAGACTTCAACACAATTAAGAGGCAACCTCAGTCTTACAGCTGATGTCCATGTTTTAGTACATGTGGGAATATTTAAAAATTTCCGATAAAGACAGCAACTTTGCAATCTGTAGTTTTTGCTCAGCTGAAATTTCAAGAGGAGGTAAAGTACCAAAACATTTTTCCATGTCAGGTTTGATATACCACCTGAAAACATGTCATCCAGTTCAGCATGCAGAGTACAATAAAGAAACGCAGCTTAAAAGCACATCAACACCATCTGTTGCCACAGTCTTCAAAAAGGCTAAAAAAATTTGCAAGTGACAGCCCCAAAGCATGGGGCTTTACGCAGAAAATAATGGAATGTATTGCATTAGATGACCAGCCATTCTCTGTTGTGGAGGAAATTAGAATTCGTAGGCTCATACAACATTTTGAGCTGTGTTACACACTATCAAGCAGACACTACTTTTCAGATACCTGTCTACCTGAAATGTTTGACAGTGTTGCAAAACACATTCATGAGCTCATGACTACCAACATCCCAGCCCTCAGTTTTACTACAGACATTTGCAATTCAGATGTCAGTTCAACAAGCATGCTTAACCTGATAGATGTGAATTTTAAATTACAAAACATATATCACCAACAGTTTGCGCAGCGCTTTACAAAATGAAGGTAGACATTACAGTTACAATACAATTTGGTACAAGAGGAAACAACGCTCATGAGTTTGTTGGATCCCACACCGCAGCAACAATATCTAAAGCTTTAAATACAATGCTCAACACTTGGCACATTGATAAGTCTAAAGTGCATCTGATTGTCCGAGATAATGCATGAAACATGGCAAAGGCTATGGAGGGCAGTGGACTTCAAAGCATACCGTGCATGGCACATACTTTACAGTTGGCTGCGAATGAGAGATTGCTGAGTAAGCGCACCATATCAGAGATATAGTAGCAAAAGGGATAAAAATTGTGGGTCACTTTAAGCATTGCTTATTCCAGATTACAAGTTTTGCAGATACAGTTTGGAATGCCACTGAAACGACTACAGCAAGATGTAGGCACTCGTTGGAACAGCACCTACAATATGCTGCAAAGTCTTCTCAAACAAAAGTGTGTTTTAGCTGCGTACATTGCAGATTATGAACTGTTGGCAACATTGAGAGCACATCAGTGGATGTTAGTTGAAAATAGTTTGTCTCTTCTAACTCCATTTGATCATTTAACAAAAGGAATAGACTTAGCTAATGGTTCCGTTGCTAAAGTCATTCCTTTGATTGCTGCACTGAAACGCCTGCTAGGAAAAGAGTCAGAAACAGACCATGACGTAAAAACAGCTAAAACTACTTTATTGGAAGCTGTAACAACGGTTTTCAAGACACCAAGTCCAACCCTCTGTACTGCAACATTGCAACAGTTCTAGATCCTCGATTTAAAGAACATTATTTTGATGTGAAGAAAAAGCAGCATGAAAGGGAAATGATATATGGAGGTGATGATGAAAGCAACTGGTGAAGGTGATTGGACGTGAGCTGCTGATATGTTTGATGAAATTTTTCAGGAAAGCACCCCAGTCCATAGCAGTGCCACAAAAAGTGCAGCTACCCAACAGCTGGAGATTTATTTAGCTGAACTGCCTATCGCCAGAAGCGACAATCCCCTTGACTACTGGCGCATGAACAAAGAACGTTTTCCATTGCTTGCACAGATTGCACGCAGATATTTATCTGCCCCAAGCACCAGTAATGAAAGTGAGAATATTCAGTATAGTATCTCATACAGTATTCTTGATGAGAAGAGGAACCGTCTCTCCTGTGAGAAAGCTGAGCAACGTTTGTTCTTAAAGCGAAACTTTTACTTAAATAGAAAGCAGTCCAATTTTCTATGTTAAAATTGTCTAGTTGTATTGCACTATACGTTTCAATTAAAGTTGAAATAAGTTTACATAACAGAATTATTTTGCACAATAATTTATTTCAATAAATATGTTTACATGAAACAGAATAGTGGCCTGACATTCTGTTTTAGTTCCATTTATTACGGTTTTGCACAGTAACTTTGCAATTAAAACGGAAAATAGTTACTATTTTCTTTTACATGAGACAGATTAGAGGCCTTTTGCCATTCTGTTAGGTAGTTGTATTTACTGTATTGCACAATAATTAACCGCTTCCCGCCCGCAATGTACTGCGGCAGAGCGGCAGCTACAGGCAAAGCGATGTACCTGTACGTTGTTCTGGCTGTATTAACACAGGGGGGCACAGAGCTCCCCTCGCGACTGCTGTGTCCAGCGGAATGAAGATCCCGGTGATCATGTGATCGTATAGCGATCACATAATCACTATGTAAGCAAAGCTGTTATGAATCATTCTCATTCATAACAGCTCTGCTTCTCTTCCTAGTGAGCTGTGATTGGCCCACAACTGTCATATGATACATGAGGCCAATCAGAGCACCCTGTACCATGTGACCAGCTCCAGCCAACACAGATCAATATCCTGAGCTGTCAAAATTTAACTCATTCATGACAGTTTATGAATGAGTTCAGCTCTGAGAGCAAGCTTTGCATTGCAGGAGAAATGATCTTTATTTCTCCTACAAAGCAAAGTGTGAGAAAAAAAAAAACCCTGATCACCCCCCCCCCCCCCACTCCCACAGTAGTACAATGTTACTATGGTAACATTGTATTATTCTGGTAAAATAATTAAAATAATAATAAAAAAAGTAAAAAAAAAAACAACCAAAAAACATATTGAGAATTATTTTTTTTTTTTTTACTTATCAACTGCATACCCACATCTTGTGGGGGAGCAGCAGCTCTTGCCAAAGCGACATAATCTTGCATCGCTTCCTATTTTGGGGTGTGAACGCACCTGTGCCCCCCCCTCGGCGGTCCAGTGATAGAAGTGAGAACAGTGCACCGAGAAAAAGCACCACTATATTTTACACACGCACACACGTTAGATTAGCACATTTAACCTTTTGATCGCCCCTATTAACCCTTTGATCACCCCGGCACCCAACCAGCGCCATTGGTAGTGTCAGTATATAGAATTTTTCACAAGTACAGCAGCATATCTTTCAAATAAATTAATTCAGCCCAAACTGTTGACTTAGGCCATGTTGTTTATATTAGGGTCCCCAAATGTTAGTGTGCCATTTTTCATAGCTGGACATTGTTCATGTTTGTCTCCATTTGTTCATGCAAATATATCAAAAACAGGCACAAAGTGACCTATAGTGCTATCTCCCTCTGGGTATTTTTTTTTTATTGTATTTATTATTTATTTTACCAGGAGACTGTTGACAAACAAGTCAACACTGGCAATCTGAACTCCATAGAAACACAAAAAACAGTCAGGTGAAAAACCTAACCAGCAGCTCATCCGAGGCTGTTGTGCTGAATTGGCAGTTTCTGGGCCCCCTTGCCCAGGGAATAATATCAAACAGCTGGGTGAAGAGGAGGATTCATCTGGGGTCTGAGAAGATACACAAAGAGATGGAATGCTCTTAAAGGAGAGACTATTCTGTCCACATCTATATATACCGTATAAGACGACTTTTTACCCCTTGAAAATCTTCTCAAAAGTCGGGGGTCGTCTTATACGCCGGTATACGGCATGCTGACACTTTTTCGGGGGGCGGCGCGGTGCTGCCGCTGCCCCCCCCCCTTCCAACGGAAGGGACACTAAGTACAAGGGTGGGCAGGGGCTGCTGTTTCTTACCTGGCTCCGGTCCCACGACGATCCAGTCCAGGAAGCGCGGCTGCTCCTTCATTCAGTTCGGCCACTGGATGTTTGCGAGGCTGCTTGGCTCTGCCTCCTCAAAGGTGATTGGCCGCCAGAACTGTAGCTCAGGAAAGGCACACAGGCGGCCAATCACCGGCGAGGAGGCGGAGCCGAGCGGCCCCAAAAAAATCGAGTGAAGGAGCAGCCGGTAAGTGTGCCGTGCAAAGGTGCTGCTGCAACCACATATGCTAGCTGCAGCAGCACCATACTGGAACAGGGGTCAGCAAGTGTCATTGGTGTCAGTGGGAGGAATAGTGCCCCATCATTGGTGGACTGATACCAATGATGGAACACTATTCCTTCCCCCACTGACACCAATGATGGTATACTATTCCTCCCACTGACACCAATGTTGGGACACTATTCCTCCCACTGACACCAATGTTGGGACACTATTCCTCCCACTGACACCAATGTTGGGACACTATTCCTCCACTGACACCAATCCTCCCACTGACACCAATGTTGGGACACTATTCCTCCCACTGACACCAATGACAGGGCACGATTCCTCCCACTGACACCAAAGATGGGGCACTATTCCCCCCACTGATACTAATGATGGGGCACTATTCCTCCCACTGATACCAATGATGGGGCACTATTCCTGCCACTGATACCAATGATGGGGCACTATTCCTCCCACTGATACCAATGATGGGGCACTATTCCTCCTACTGACAGCAATGATGGGGCGCTATTCCTCCCACTGACACCAATGATAGGGTGCTATTCCTCCCACTGACACCAATGATGGGGCACGATTTGTCGCTCTGACATCAATGATGGGGCACTATTCCTCCCACTAATACCAATGATGGGGCACTATTCCTCCCTATTCTCCCACTAATACCAATGATGGAGCACTATGATTCGTCACTCTGACACCAATGATGGGGCACTAATTCCTCCCACTGACACCAATGATGGGGCACTATTCCTCCCACTAATACCAATGATGGGGCACGATTCTTCCCACTGGTGTGCATTGGAAGAGGGGTAGTCTTATATGGCGAGTATAGCCCAAACACTATATTTTAACAGGAAAAGTAGGGGGTCTTATACGCCCAGTCGTCTTATACGCCGGAAAATACGGTAGTTGCTAAGGAGTTTGTCCTCAAGTTTGCATTTCCTTGGGCATCCCATACACCCCTCAACCCACTCCAAGTTCTATACCCCTTAAAATCACAAAACCAAGCTCAAGAACTGTTTACTGACTCCAAGTGCAAAATGTGAAATAAAATGTGTGTTGCCTGGCCCTGCAGAGCTTTAGGGGTCCCAAAACTCAGCGACTCTTAAGGGGGTAGTGCTACAATGGCATATCCAGAAAGTTACTTCTATATTCTGCTTAAGTGCAGAGAGCACAAAAAAAAAAAAACACCTAAAATTAGCTGTATGGAAAGGAGATGCTGAATCAACAGATCACAAAAACGATTTGAGCGGATAAGGGGCATATAAGTGCATTTTAGTTATCTATTTCCTGTTTATTTTTAAACTACAAAAAGAGTGCAGCCAACACACAATCTAATGTCATCTGTGTTGCTAGGAGCACTTCTACATGTTGTGCTGAAAATATGAATGGTATGTTGTAAACAAAACCCGAAGTGCTGCAAATTAGTCAAAAAAAAAAAAAAGATCTCACAAACATTTTGAATAGCTAAATATACCGTATTTTTCGCTCCATAAGATGCACCTGACCATAAGACGCACCTAGGTTTTAGAGGCGAAAAACAAGAAAAAAATATTCTGAACCAATGGACTGCAGACATAGTACAGGAGATGACCAGAGACTGCGGACACAGTACAGAAGATGACCAGAGACTGCGGACATAGTACAGGAGATGACCAGAGACTGCGGACATAGTACAGGAGATGACCAGAGACTGCGGACACAGTACAGGGGATGACCAGAGACTGCGGACACAGTACAAGGGATGACCAGAGACTGCGGACATACAACAGGAGATTACCAGAGACTGCGGACATACAACAGGAGATGACCAGAGGCTGCAGACATAGTACAGGGGATGACCAGAGACTGCGGACATAGTACAGGGATGACCAGAGACTGCGGACATAGTACAGGGGATGACCAGAGACTGCGGACATAGTACAGGGGATGACCAGAGACTGCGGACATAGTACAGGGGATGACCAGAGACTGCGGACACAGTACAGGAGATGACCAGAGACTGCGGACACAGTACAGGACATGACCAGAGACTGCGGACACAGTACAGGAGATGACCAGAGACTGCGGACATAGTACAGGAGATGACCAGAGACTGCGGACATAGTACAGGAGATGACCAGAGACTGCGGACACAGTACAGGAGATGACCAGAGACTGCAGACACAGTACAGGAGATGACCAGAGGCTGCGGACACAGTACAGGAGATGACCAGAGACTGCGGACACAGTACAGGAGATGACCAGAGACTGCGGACACAGTACAGGAGATGACCAGAGACTGCAGACATAGTACAGATGACCAGAGACTGCGGACATAGTACAGGGAAAATACCAGGGACACAGTACAGATGTCCAGAGACTGCAGACAGTGCAGGGAATGACCAGAGACTGTAGACAGTACAGGGAATGACCAGAGACTGCAGACAGTGCAGGGAATGACCAGAGACTGCAGACAGTGCAGGGAATGACCAGAGACTGCAGACAGTGCAGGGAATGACCAGAGACTGCAGACAGTGCAGGGAATGACCAGAGACTGCAGACAGTACAGGGAATGACCAGAGACTGCAGACAGTACAGGGAATGACCAGAGACTGCAGACAGTACAGGGAATGACCAGGGACTGCAGACAGTACAGGGAATGACCAGGGACTGCAGACAGTGCAGGGAATGACCAGAGACTGCAGACAGTGCAGGGAATGACCAGAGACTGCTGACCTTTGGGGAGGGAGGGGGAGCGGGTACCTGAATTTGACAGGTACCCGCTCCCACTTCCGCGGAGTTGTCCTTCCCTCTTCTTCCTGTGCCGGCTTCTGTGACAGCCGGGTGCCCACTGCGCATGTGCGAGAAGCGCTGCGCTTTGTGAATGGCCCGGCGCCTTCTGGGACCTGTCATGTGTCCCAGAAGACACCGGACCATTGACAAAGCGCAGCGCATGCGCAGTGGGCACCCGGATGTCACAGAAGCCAGCGCGGGAAGACTGTGCAGCGCTGGAGCGAGGAACAGGTAAGGCCCTGCAGGAGAGAACAGCTCAGCGGCCGGCCCGGTATTCTGACATGGTGGCGGCAGAAATACCGGACCGGCCGCTTTATATTTGCTCCATAGGACGCACTGACATTTTCCCCCCTTTTTTGGGGGGAAAAAAGTGCGTCTTATGGAGCGAAAAATACGGTAGATATAGATTTTTAATGCTCTAAAGATACTAGCCATCATAAAAAAAAAATATAAAGACAGTAGGAACACGGTCTACATCGGAGCTTGCTGGGCAACACTCAAATGAAATGTCAGACATACTAAGAAACAGCCAAATTATCATGCAATTACTTGCTTGACTTTAACAAATACGCTTCTGAACCAACTGTTGACTACATATGGCAGTAATAAATAATTTAAATTTACAGTAAACCACTCCATATATGTAAACCTGATAATTGTAACAACAATCCACATGCAAACCTTAGCATGCTTGGCATAGAGGTATACAGTCACAATGACTGTAAAGCCTGGTTCACCGGTCTTCTTAACACATACAGTTGCAAGAAAAAGTATGTGAACCCCTTGGGATTACGTGGAGTTTTGCATGAATTGGGCATACAATGTGCTCTGAACGTCATCTGAGTCACAACAATAGAACAACACAGTCTGCTGAACATAATACTACACAAACATTAGATGTTGCCATGGTTTAATTGCACATAACATGCAAACATTCACAGTGCAGGGAGGAAAAAGTATGTGAGGCCCTAGCATAATGACTTCTCCCAGAGCTAATTGGAGCCAAGAGTGAGCCAACCTTGACTCCAATCAGTGTGATGATATTGGATGTGTTGCTGACAGCTGTCCTGCCCTTAAAAAACACACACCTGTTTTGGGTTTACTGGTTTCAAGAAGCACTGTCTGATGTGAACAATGCCTCGCAGAAAAGAGCTCTCAGAAGACCTACGATCAAGAATTGTTGACTTGCATGAAGCTGGAAAGGGTTACAAAAGTATCTCCAAAAGCCTCGATGTTCATGTGTCCACGGTAAGACAGACTGTCTACAAATGGAGAAAGTTTAACACTGTTGCTACTCTCCCTAGGCGTGGTCGTCCTGTAAAAATGACTGCAAGACCACAGCGCAGAACGCTGCATGAGGTAAAGAAGAATCCCAAAGTGTCAGCTAAAGACCTACAGAAATCTCTGGCACATGCTAACATTTTTGTTGACACATCTACAATAAGGAAAACATTAAACAAGAATGGAGTACATGGGAGGACACCACGGAGGAAGCCATTGCTGTCCAAAAAGAATATTGCAGCACGTTTGAAGTTTGCAAAAGAACACCTGGATGTTGCACAGCACTACTGGCAAAATATACTGTGGACAGATGAAACCAAGATTGAGTTGTTTGGGAAGAACACACAACACCATGTGTGGAGAAAAAAAGGCACAGCACACCAACATCAAAACCTCATCCCCACTGTAAAACATGGCGGAGGGAGCATCATGGTTTGGGGCTGCTTTGCTGCCTCAGGGCCTGGATGGATTGTTGTCATTGATGGGAAAATGAATTCCCGAGTTTATCAAGACATTTTGCAGGAAAACGTACGACCATCTGTCCGCCAACTGAAGCTCCGCAGAGGATGGGTGATGCAACAGGACAATGACCCAAAGCATACAAGTAATTCAACAAAACAATGGCTGCAACAGCACAGAATACGCCTTCTAGAGTGGCCCAGTCAGAGTCCTGACCTCAACCCGATTGAAATGCTGTGGCATGACCTTAAGAGAGCGATTCACACCAGACATCCCAAGAATATTGCTACTGAAACAGTTTTGTGAAGAGGAGTGGTCCAAAATTAATCCAGATCGTTGTGCAGGTCTGATCTGCAACTACAGGAAACGTTTGGTTGAGGTTATTGCTGCCAAAGGAGGGTCAACCAGTTATTAAGTCCAAAGGTTCACATACTTTTTCCTCCCTGCACTGTGAATGTTTACATGTTATGTGCAATTAAACCATGGCAACATCTAATGTTTGTGTAGTATTATGTTCAGCAGACTGTGTTCTTCTATTGTTGTGACTTAGATGACATTCAGAGCACATTTTATGCCCAATTCATGCAAAACTCCACGTAATCCCAAGGGGTTTCACATACTTTTTCTTGCAACTGTATACTATAATCTTTGCTATCTCAGTAGCCACACTTGGGAGAGCAAATATATTTTGGCTTACATTAAAAGTCTCCTTCACATAGCTCTGCTCTTGAACAGTTTTTGCTCGCACTTGTGCCAAAGATTGTAACAATCACAGAAGATCAGTTCCACAAATGAAGATGGACTGGACATAACCAGTATTAATAAAACTCCCATAAAAACAATAGAATAAAAACTAACTGTTCTAGAAGCAAACAGCCTGCTCACATTTTCTGCATCTGTCCTTCATGTTTATAAATATACAGGTTCCTCATGTATCAATGCCTGTACTGACACATGTTGGTATAGTGCCAATTGGTATTCTTATTTGATATACAAGAAGTTACAGTAGTTAAAAGTTAATAGAAGTTAACAATTATTAAGCATCCCCCCAAAAAAATGTGCTTACAAGTCTTATTGAAAAAAGGATATGGGTAATAACAAAGTACCACAACAGGGACATAGGTACTGTAAACATAAGTGTATGCACATCTTAGGGTCCATTGGATCCATTTACACCAGCCGCTGCATTGTAACAGAGTGGCTGGTGTGCGATGTGGTCCAGCAGTATCATCACACTGTACAGCACTGTTGATTTTAAGCA